CTTATAACATGGTACTGCTGATTTTTATTTATTTATTTATTTATTTATTTATTTATTTATTTTTTGAGAGACGTTCACTTTTTTCGCCCAGGCTGGAGTTCAGTGGCACGACCTCAGCTCACTGCAACCTCCGCCTCCTGGGTTCAAGCAATTCTCCTGCCTCAGCCTTCCGAATAGCTGGGATTACAAGCGTGTGCCACCATGCCCAGCTAATTTTGTGTTTTTAGAAGAGACAGGGTTTGACCATACTGGCCAGGCTGGTCTCAAACTCCTGACCTCAGGTGATCCTCCCACCTCAGCCTCCCAAAGTGCTGTGATTACAGGTGTAAGCCACCGCGCCCAGCTGGTACCACTGATTTTTAAAAGTCTGTCAAGAGTATGAAAAATAAATTCAACATAACACCAACATCATGGTCTATGTTATAGCACTAATTCCTTATGTATTACGTATTCCTCAAAAACACACTGTGAAAAAAGTAATACAGTCTATATTAGTCAGTAATGGGAATGTATTCACATAAATTCTTAAAGGTAGTACACGGGAAAACTGCTAAAACATGTAACACTTAAACTTTAAAACACCTAAAAAGTATTACTACATAATCTAACTTTCAATCACTTCAATAAACTGTCACTTAATACAATTTAAAGATTTGTTGTCGTTAATACAACAGACAATTCAAACTTAAAAGCTTGCTCCGAAGTATAAATATGTTTGAAGATCCAATAAATGGCATAAAACCTTCTATAGCTCAATGATCATCGTAATACAGAAATTACAGCAGGCACAGTGACTCTTGCCTATAATCCCAGCACTTTGGGAGGCTGAGGCGGGAGAATCACTTGAGTCCAAAAGTTCAAGAACAGCCTGGGCAACATGGCAAAATCTCATCTCTACAAAAACTACAAAAATTAGCCAGATGTGCCTGCAGTTCCAGCTACTCAGGAGGCTAAGGTGAGAGAATTGTTTGAGCCCGGGAGGTGGGAATTAGAGATCGTGCCAGCCAGGGTGAAATAGAGAGACTATCAAAAAGAAAAAAAAAAAAAACAAATTGGGAACACACAAAGAAAGAAAGAAAATTTAGGCCTAATATACTCAACATTAAATAGATTCTGAATCGCAATTTTTGCTAAAGCAAAATACAAATTACAAGAAGCTTCTCATCTTTTATCACATAAGAAATAAAGTTGTAATAAATAAGCTAAGTTTTTAATACTAATGATTACTAGCAGATTCTCTAAGAGAAGATTTGCTATACTAATAATAACAGGAAGTTCTTGCATAAAGTTAGAAATTTATTTTAGTAACTTTTTCCTTTTGACAATAAAAGTACCTTTCAAAAAAAAAGGCAGAATGTAATGCTGAGCACTTAAAATTAGTATCTCTAAAATGATACCAAAAAATTTGCATTTGGCTAGTATTACCAAGAAACTTTTAAGGCTAAAGTTTCCAACATACTTTCATTTTTTTAAACACACTAGTTTTAAAAAAAAGGAAACGAAAGGAAGAAAAAAAAAACATTTTAATCTCAAAGACTTTCAACTTAACTACATTTCTTTTAACCAAACATTTATAGAGCACCTAAGAAGTGACAGGCACTACAACACTGGGAACTGTGACAGATTACATTTACTCCAAACTAAACCTTTTATTTATTCAGCTTCTGAACTTATTATTATTCAAACCAAAACTTTTCTTAAGAAATTCTCACCCAACATCAAGGTGCACATATGAGTTACCTAATAAATGCACTTTTCACTGTTTTACACAGGTCACAAGAGTTATAGCTAGGATTTGTGACTAACAAAACGGATTCATTCCTGAAACATGTCTATGCTGTTTTACATGAAAATGAGATAGGAATAAACTGTTTCAGGTAGTTTACAGCATCCCAAACTCAAAGAGAAAACCTTAAAAAAAATTAGACTACACTTAATTACTCTGTATAGTAGACCAAAATTTAAGTAGCCACAGCTTTTACCTTCTGCAACCACAGGTATTACAAATTTTAATTTGGATGCAGTACTGTCCAAGTCGTCTTGATTCCGAGGACAAGTGAAATTTTTAAAAAATAGTTCAAAGAAACTGTCAAAAGTAGACAACGTTGATATTCTAACATGCTATCTGTTGCATTTCTACACTTGTGAACACTACCCTTTTCAAGCACTTCTGAATTTGTAATAAATGTAAAAATACAAGCTAGTGTCTAAGTTCCACCAGTTGAATCTAGACTTTTCAAAAATCTAAGGTTTCATTCCAGCATGTTTTTAAAAAAAAAAAGAAGACAGCATTCATATACATATTCTCTCAAGTGACCAAAAAAAGTGTAATTTTATGGTTATCATTTCTTCCAACAATTAAGCAAATTTTTTGACCCTATTCTCCACTCAGTTAACATGTTTACGTCTAAGAGGAACCTGGCCATCAGTTTTCCACACATCATAATGCAACAGAGCCTCTGACTTATTTGCAGACCAACCAGATCAATAAAGAAAAATAAACCACATAACCCCAAGTGCCTGGAAATACAAGAAACAATTGGTATCTCTGAATTGTGTAAAGATCACCAAAATTATCTTTTTAAATCTTTCAATTAAATTATGTTTGTGACGAGTCAAAGAGTTTTCTGCTAAAATTTTATAGTACTGTTCACACAATAAACAAGATTTTCTTTCATCAGTGTAACTGATAGAACCACAATACAGTTCAGTTTCCAGGGTCAGATTACCTGACCTGCTTTTTGTTTTACCTTTTAAAACACTTTAATTCATGCCGTTATTCCTCTCATTCCCTACAAAAAGAGGGGTTCAATATGGGAGAATCATCTTCAGTTGAGATATCCTGTAACTGCCTCCAACTCCACAGCAAAGCCCGCCAGCTGACCCCGGTCTCTCTGGGGAAGGGCTCGGTCACTAAGCCACCAAACACACCTTCCTCTGCAAAACTCGGAAGCCCCACACGACGACCTCGTCCAAACCCCCTACTTCCTGAATTCGATAACCCCAGAGATTCGTATTCTGCAGGCAATCTTACCTTCATGATGACTCTGGGACCGAGATAGTCTCTAAAACACCGGGTTCACCTGCACCTGGAGGGGAAACAAAAGACACCCAGTCAACACCACAGGCACCCCTCTGCACTGGCGGAGGCGGAGGGAAGGAACCGAGCGACGCCCGAACCCCGAAGAAAGAGCCGCACCAGGCGCCAGCCCCCGAACCATCACACGCCGACTCGGGGCTCCCTCTGGCCCCGCCATCCCCGCAAACCCAGCCACCTACACAGCTCGGCAGCTTCCCGTCCCCATTGTCGAGACCCGACGGAGTTTCCCGTCTACGACAATGACGCCATTTCTGTCAGAGAAGAAACTCACAACAAGCCCGGCGTCCGGCGCGGGGCCGGCCGATCTCCCCGCGGGCCTCAGCGCCCGGCGGAGCGAGTCCGCGCCCCCATGCGCCGCGTCCGAGGTGGAGGCCGGCCGGGGGCCACCAAGGGCTCAGGAGGGCCTGTGGGCCGCGGGCTGGACCGGCCCGCCTCAGAGCCCCTGCCCACGTCCCGTTCCGGGCGCAGACCCGACAAGTGGGAGCGGGATCAACATCTGGCCCCGCCGCGGGGACAACGTGAGGGCCGAGGGCCCCGGAGGCGGAACGGCCCCCACCCTGCCCGGGCCCCCGACCGCGGCCGCTAAACCGCTGAGTGTGCGGCCGCCTAGCCAGGGGGCGGCTCGGACACAGCGGCTGCGGGGGGTGGGGGCTCCCGGAAGGCCGAGGCCCCGAATTCGGGCGCCGCAGGGACCACCACCGCGATCTTCCTCTGCTCCTCGGTCGGGCCCAGCGACTCCCAAAAGAACCCCCTTAGGAGACCACGAAAGCCCCAGAAAATGTCCCTACCTTCCTCGGAGGCGAGATCTGACCCTGGCACGTCCAGAGTTCCCTCTCTCCTCCTCCCCCCCAAAACCAGTAGGCCTGGGGGAGAGATGGGGAAGAAGGGCGGCGGGTCCAGCGGCTGCTGAGGCAGAGGCTCCGGCTCCTCCTCCTCCCGCGGCGGCGACTGGTACCTTTGTTTGGCGGCCGCTCGGGCTCCCTGGTTGGGGGGAGGGGGACGACGAAAAATCCCTCCCGGACTGGAGGTCCGGGCCCCCAAACGCGCTGCCCTCCAGAGGACGGCGGCGATGGACCCTCTGCAGCTCCCTCCGGGCAAAGGTCCAGGCGGTGGCCGTGGCGGCGGCAAGCTGAAGCTCAAGACTCTCCCTCCGCTCCGGCGACCGAGCTCCTCACTCCGGACTCGACTGACGGGCAAACATCGCTTCCCCCCACCCCGACTCTAGGTCCCCCCCCTTCCTTTCTCCCCTCCCCTAGATTTTTCCCCCCCCCCCACCTCTTTCCCGGATGGCCTCTTAGACGACCTTGGATTGGTTAAAATTCTTTAGAACCCGCCTATACACTGTTCCTATTGGTCGCTAGATACAAACAACGACGCCATTTTCCCACCAGTTCTATGGAAACAGAGAGTTACGCCTCAAGGCTTCCTGGGAAATGAAGTCCAGCCTCTGGGGCCAACGCGCAAATCCTCGTCCGCGAGAACTGCAAGGCCCGCAATGCCCTGCGCCACCGTGGACCGGAGAGGGGGAGGGGGTGAAAGGGGCGGGGCAACAAAGCAGTAGGGAGGCGTCAACGACGCCTGCGCAGTGTGACCGGGATGGCGCATTTTCTTGCACCGAGTAATGCGGTGTCGCTGGCGGCTAATGAGGGCGGAGAGTTGTGTGGTGAAGTAGTGGGAGGGATTCATGTAGGCATCGGGAAGAGCCTAAGCCCACACTATAAAATAGGAAGTTAATGCGGGGTACAGCTACTCCCGGACCGGCGGCGTGAAAGTCGTGATATCATCGTTGAACTGTGAGCAGCAGTGGCGGCGGCTGGGGGAAACCCGGATGGGAAGGAGGGAGGGGGAGGCTGGGAGGCGGGGCAGAGAGGAAAGAAAGAAAGGAGAGTGAGGACCCGGATGCTGAACCGGATTGTGTATGAATTTTCCATCCCCTAGCTTTAAGCGGGGAGGAGGAGGAAGGGTTGGCCAAATGCGGCGGAAGGGAGCATCTGAGCGAGGAGGAAGCAGAAACCTCACCGTTTCTCTCCCTCCGGACTCTGTGCTAGCACTGTAGACGTTTGCAGTTCTCTGTCCAGCCGCTGTGGAAAATCAGCCTCGAAGTGATAGAAATTCCCTGCTTATATCAGGCAGCTTCTTTCAGATCCATCGTCTTTCTCCCGGAGTATGAGTGGAAGGATTCAGTGTGCGCTTCACATTTGTATGTCTCTGTTTAGCCATTCTCAAACCAGGCCCTTCCCTTTGAAAAGATGAGTCGTTTGCATGGGATGTTCGCTTTTTAGACGCAAGCTTGTTGCCCGGGTTTCATCGTCCAACGCGTTAGAAGGCGCTTCCTTTTTTTCTTGGCTGCCGAGCGCGGACCACTGGGGTGGCCTCTGCCTTCGTAGATCTGCGCCTGGCGAGACGGACAGATGCTGAACAAAACAATGTGAAATTACCGCAGTGGCAGTGCCCCAGAGGAGAGTTCCGCGGTGATAGGAGAATGTGAGGGAATTTGGCTTATTTAGGGAGGGAAAGGAAGGGTTTCTGAGCAAGTGAGGATCGAGCTGAGAGCTGTAGGGCTAGCAGGAGTTAACTAAGGAAAGAGAAAAGGAAAGGACATTCCAGACAAAAAGACTAACTTGTCGGAAAGCCCTGTGGCAGAAGGGAGCTTTTCCAGTGTGAAGCACAGAGCCTGGAGAGATGGGGTGAAGGGGAGTGTGGAACCTTACAGACTTTGTGAAGGAGTTTTGTTTTTGTCCTAATAGCAATGGGATATCTTCCAAGGATTCTCAGTTAGAAGGGAGAGATGACTCCGCTTGGAATGTCACCGTGGCTGAAGAGTAGAGGACGCGAAAAAAAGAAGAGTTAAAGAGGCAAATGCAGGGAGCCCGACGAGGAGGCTATTGCCGTAGTAGTTCACATGGTGACAGAAATGGAGCGTTTGTGATAATAATTATGGATTCACCCTTTGAACAAATTTCTGGCAGCTTTTTAGTTTTGAAAGTGAGAAGTTTCAGACTCTCACTGAGGTATTCAGTAGTAGTTTATTCACTCTAAAAGGAAACTAGTAGAGTTCATATAACACACACTAATGCCTCCTTACATTTAAGTTTAGTACGTGATAGCTGAAATTTCCAGCTGTGATAAATTGGGAAATCCTTTGATTTAAAACAAAGGCGAGTGAGAGTATGTGCCGCAGTGTGTAAAATCCTTTAGGCTTAAGAAGACGCAAGGCAAGTTGGTGGTGGTTACCTAGAAAAATTGAGGTTCTTATGTTTTCATACCACTGAAAATACTTGTATGTAAACATCCTCTGGGAAAGGAAATTGACTTGTTAAGTGAGTATTCTTAAACATCTCTAAGTGAGCAAAGGAAATAATTTTTTTTTTAAAAGCATGACTAGTGTTTTAAGTTGAAAAATAACATCAACCACAAAGCTCTCTACAAATTGAAACAAAGATTAGCTCTGATTTCTATGCAACAGGGTACACCTGCTAGAGATCCTGACACAAAAGGGAATTCTGAAACTGTATCTCATTGATTTTTAAGTTCAGTCAAATGTGTTTTGGAGGCTGTGAGAATCTAATATACAAACGTGATTCTTGCTCCCAACCTGTAGTTGAGAAAAGATAGGTACTGATATATAAATAGAGAAGTATATGAGATGCTTTTTAAATTCTACCTTTAATGATGTTCGATAATAATCTTTAAGCCATTATTCTTCCTGTTCTGCGTCTTCTTTTTTTTTCAATCCCTGATAATAAGGTATAGATAATAGGTTACCTAATAAGGATTTACCTAATATTATACTTCAATCCCGGATAATAAGGTAACGGGTCAGAGATCAAGTAGTATAGGTAATAGGTTACCTTAATAAGTATTTGCCTAATATTACCAATAGGTATATTGATTATTTCACTTATTTGATTCTTTATGAGCCTCTTTTTCCTTGTGACGTCTTTGGTATTAATTGCTAGTCAAGGTGGATGTAGAAATTTCCCATATGGGATGTTTCTCTTTGAAATGTTTCTCTTGTTAAAATGATTTCTTTTCGTGGAGTGCTGATTTTTTTTATGATTGTTTGATATAGATGAGAACAGACTACAAAAAAATGTGCCTTTCAATCCTGAAGAGTAACCTGAACTATACACTAGTTTTGTGCTTTAATTTTCATTTGTAATCTGCCTTCAATAAAGAGTTAAGCTAGTGGAATTTATGTCTTAACTTATAACACAAACATGAATATTTGCTTGGCATTGAAGGGTAAAGATATTCAATAGCTGGGGATCTTAATCTGAGGTGCATGTAAACGATTCAGGGACTACATGATCTCTGAGAAGTTATATGTTATAAGGAGAAGTTATATGTTGTGAGTCTTTGCGGCAGTGCATACATTTGTGTTGGAGCGTATTAACACATACACAGGCCTTTTTTTTTTTTTAAGAAGATTCATAGCTTTCATCATATTCTCAAAAGGTTTATGTGATCCATTAGATGGTTTACTGTATGGGGAAGCATCAAAGCAATTGCATAGTTGATGGTTATATGTGTGTTATTATTTCAGCCATCCATTATCATGTGCCTACCAACTGCCTAACAGTGCATACATATGTAGAAGTTTTATTCTTTTATCCTGTTGCCATATTACAAGTCTCATTTCACAGCAGAAAAACCTACATTACAGAGACAATGTGGTTCAAACCATTTTACCCTTGTATTCATTGACTGCTACAAAACAGGAACATTAAATACCCGATAGTCACTAAATTGGGTAGTCTCAGCACTTCTACACTCGTAATTGTGCTGGAAAAGTGGAATGCTAGCACTAATAATTAGATTTTGGTTTGTGGGGGTTTTTAATTTATTTTTACTTGTATAAATGTATGGGGTACAAGTATAGTTTTATCACATGCATAGATTGCATAGTAGTGAAGTCAGGACTTTTAGGGTGTCCATCACCCACATAATCACATTGTACCCATTAAGTAAGCTTTCATCATCCACCTCCTTCCCACCTTCTCACCCTTTGGAATCTCCATTGTCTGTCATTCCACACTCCACATGTCCATGTATACACATTATTTAGCTCCCATTTGTAATTAAGATGTACTATTTGTCTTTCTATGTCTGACTTGTTACACTTAAGGTAAGGGCTATCCATCCATTTTGCTGCAAATGACGTGATTTCATTTTGTTTTAATGGCTGACTAACAATTCATTATGTATATACCACATTTTCTTTATTCAGTCATCTACTGATGGACACCTAGGTTGATTTTACTATTATGAATAGTCTGTAATAAACACACAAGTGCAAGATTTTGGAAATTTTACTTTTGTGGCACGTTGTCGGTATTTACTCAGGATCTTTGGATTTGCTTGGCTACATGTATATAAATCAGTGTGTTTATTAACTGAAATATGTGCAAAAGTCTTGTCTTTGGTGGATTAATTTATAGTATAAATCCACAAAAGTCAGATTCTGCTCCTAAGTATATTTTACATTTTTAATTTTAGTGCCAGCAAGAAGTTACAGTACTAAAATCGCCTTACGCCTGAGAGTGTCAATGATGCGATCATAGTATCAGGTGACCGGGCTATAAAAGATGACTTTTGTTACTTAACATTATGAAGTTACTAGGGCAAATTTAGAAATCGAGGAACACTGGTGAAACCCCGTCTCTACTAAGAAAAATTAGCTGGGCGTGGTGGTGGGCACCTGTAGTCCCAGCTGCTCAGGAGGCTGAGTCAGGAGAACTGCTTGAACCCAGGAGGCAGAGGTTGCAATGAGCCGAGATCGTGCCACTGCACTCCAGCCTGGGCAACAGAGCGAGACGCCGTCTCAAAAAAAAAAAAAAGCAAGGAACACATCCTCACTGTTAAAATAAATAACAGTAGCCCACACCCCGTTAGTTGTGGTGTGGTGTGGTACCATGTAAGCAACCTATTTCCAGTTCCCCTAACATTCTCAAGCAGCTGTATCGGAATCATACAAGATGCGTATTTAAATTGAAGATTTCTAAGTCTCTGGCCCAGACTTAGAAAAAAAGGATCAGGCCGGTCATGGTGGCTCACACCTGTAATCCCAAAACTTTGGGAGGCTGAGGCAGGTGGATCATCTGAGGTCAGGAGTTTTGAGACCAGCCCGGCCAACATAGTGAAACCCCATCTCTACTAAAAATTCAAAAAATTTAGCTGAGCGTGGTGGCGGGAACCTGTAATCCCTGCTATTTGGGAGGCTGAGGCAGGAGAATCACTTGATCCCAGGAGGGGGAGGTTGCAGTGAGCCGAGATCGCGCCACTGCACTCCAGCCTGGACAACAAGAGCGAAACTCTGTCTCAAAAAAAAAAAAAAAAAGAAAAAGAAAAAAGGAACTTTGAACAAATGAGAGTAACACAATGTACATGAACTCAACTTCATTTTCTTCGTTCAAAAAAAGTGACCCTCACTTAAGCAAATATATTCTTGTGCTTTAACTTCTGGCATACTGAGATAACTTTCTAAAGTGGCTTCCAATTCCAAAAACCAATGATGTGCAACTCATTGAACAGCCCTAACCACAAACTGCCATTAGATGCCATATTACATTTAGCCTTTTTGTTGTATCTGCCTTGAAGCCAGAAAAGTTGGTTAGAAGCGGGCTCAAGATTCTAAAGACTAAATCATAGTCCCAAGAAGCAGAAGAAAGAGGATAAAAGTAATAAACTTCCCAAAATGTGCCAAAGATGCTAGAGCAGTTAGAAAAAGATTCCTAATACGAGGACAAGTAATAATAGAAACAGATTCAAAGAAATAAAGTAGAGATTCAGCAGTACAGGGAGACCCTAGGAAGACCATGAGTGTTATTGTAGGAAATATTGAAATAAGGCAGATTTCAGTATAAAGGGGAATACGTTTAATAAATATGATTGCATTTGAGTTAATGCATATCTTAAATCAGAAGTCTCTGAAATTGATTGATTGTAGGAGAATCCCTTTAAATTTTAAATACATAAAACATACTCATCTTAGTGCTCATTTAGAAAAGGATATGTTTACTAATTAGTGTAATCAGTTAAATACAGAGGTATCTTTCCAGTTCTTTGGAGTTGTTTTGACATTTGCCGTCAACAAATTAAGCCTTTTATGGTTGATAAAATAGGAAAGGCTTAATATAAGTTACACGACTAAGAAAACTTAAAAACCAAGAGAACACTTTGACCAATATAATCACTTGAATGAAGAATTTTCTAATTGAGAGAGAATTTACATACCACCCATTTAAAGTGTACATTTCAGCAGTTTTTAATGTATTCACAGGGCTGTGCAACCATCACCACAATTTAATTTTATAACATTTTGATCCCTGCAAAAAGAAACCCTGTACTCATTAGCAATTAGTCCCTTTTTCTAACCACGAATCTACTTTCTGTCTCTGTAGATTGGCTTATTCTGAACATTTCACATCAATGGAATCATACGATATGTAGTCTCTTGAGATTGGCTTCTTTCACTTAACATATTTTCAAGGCTTCATAGATGTAGAATCTTCTTTTTTTTGTTTTTTGAGACTGGAGTCTCACTCTTTCACCCAGGCTGGAGAGCAGTGGTGCGATCTTAGCTCACTGCAACCTCTGCCTGCTGGGTTCAAGCAATTCTGCCTCAGCCTCCCAAGTAGCTGGAACTATAGGCACTCACTACCATGCTTGGCTAATTTTTGTATTTTTAGTAGAGATGGTGTGAAGGCTGGTCTTGAACTCCTGACCTCGTGATCTACCCACCTCAGCTAATTTTTCGTATTTTTAGTAGAGACAAGGTTTTGCCATGTTTCCCAGGCTAGCCTCAAACTCCTGGGCTTAAGCAATCCGCCTGCCTCAGCCTCCCAAGTGCTGGGATTACAGGCGTGAGCCACTGTGCGCGGCAACAGAAAATTCTTTTTAAACCAAACTGGGTGACTGTCTTTTCACAAACACCTTGAAATACAAATTCCTGCGGCCGGGCGCGGTGGCTCAAGCCTGTAATCCCAGCACTTTGGGAGGCCGAGACGGGCAGATCACGAGGTCAGGAGATCGAGACCATCCTGGCTAACACGGTGAAACCCCGTCTCTACTAAAAAATACAAAAAAAACTAGCTGGGCGTGTTGGCGGGCGCCTGTAATCCCAGCTACTCAGGAGGAAGAGGCAGGAGAATGGCGTAAACCCGGGAGGCGGCGCTTGCAGTTACCTGAGATCCGGCCACTGCACCCCAGCCTGGGTGACAGAGTGAGACTCGTCTCAAAAAAACAAAAAAAAAAGGAATACAAATTCCTTTGCAGTTTTATACTCAAAGATGATTAGTTTCATATGATCTTTATGTTTCTTTTTGACAGATTGGCTTTGAAGTTTAAATCCAATGGAGAAGACTCAAGAAACAGTCCAAAGAATTCTTCTAGAACCGTATAAATACTTACTTCAGTTACCAGGTAATACTTCATTTATAGTCCATAGAGGGTCGTTTTCACACAGTAGTGGTCGTTCAAATGTTAGCAAATAGAAAAGGTTAGACTTGCTAGCTGTTGAGATTTTGTATTTAAGGTGATGCATCTGAGAAAAATGATAAATAGAACGTTCTAATTTTTCATTATTAAACGGTAATTTTTGCCAGGTGAAGTGATATACACCTGTTGTTTCACCTACTTGGGAGGCTGAGACAGGAGGATGGCTTGAGCCCAGGAGTTTAAGGCTGTAGTGCACAATGATCACACCTGTGAATAGCCACTACACTCCAGCTTAGGCAACATAGTGAGACCCCGTCTCTTAAAAAGAAACGTAATTTTTGAAGGCACCCTTTAAAACATATCCAACGATTTAACATACCTTAAAAATTAAAAATACTTAAAACATTTTGGTATCTCATTGGAGGTTGTATTCTTTATGGATATTACGCATTCAAATTCTCCACTGTTTAGATATTAGGGGAAGTTATGCAGATTTGTTTAACAATAGAACACTTGGCCGGGCGCGGTGGCTCAAGCCTGTAGTCCCAGCACTTTGGGAGGCCGAGACGGGCGGATCACAAGGTCAGGAGATCGAGACCATCCTGGCTAACCCGGTGAAACCTCGTCTCTACTAAAAAATACAAAAAACTAGCCGGGCGAGGTGGCGGGCGCCTGTAGTCCCAGCTACTCGGAAGGCTGAGGCAGGAGAATGGCGTGAACCCGGGAGGCGGAGCTTGCAGTGAGCTGAGATCTGGCCACTGCACTCCAGCCTGGGCGGCAGAGCCAGACTCCGTCTCAAAAAAAAAAAAAAAACAATAGAACACTTTATTTACCATCCATATTCAAGTTTACCTTCTATGTCTTTGTTTTCCAGTATCTCACACATGCACTGCATTTCGTATACTACTAGTTCCTTTGACAGCCAAATAATAATGTATCTAAAATCACAGTATTTGGAAGCATAGCCCACTTTATTCCTGTATAAAGGCGTGCCACCTGCACATGGCTTCCTACCTCATGTGTACGTGTGTGTTTTTGTTTTATTTTGCTTCTTTAAAAACTTGTCTGGAGGCTGGGCATGGTGGCTCACACCTGTAAACCCAGCACTTTGTGAGGCCAAGGCGGGCGGATCATGAGGTCAAGAGATTGAGAGCAGCCTGGCCAACATGGTAAAACCCCGTCTCTACTAAAAATACAAAAATTAGCTGGGCATGGTGGCGCATGCCTGTAGTCCCAGCTACTCAGGAGGCTGAGGCAGGATAATAGCTTGAACCTGGGAGGCAGAGGTTTCTGTGAGCCGAGATTGCACCACTGCACCCCAGCCTGGCAGCAGAATGAGACTTCGACTCAAAAAAATCCTTGTCTGTAAATGATGATAAGCAAAAACTCATGAATATAATAAACAGGGGTTCTTGTAATAAAAAATCATTTATAAACCAATTATTTCTCATAGAAATAATACAGGCCAGGTGTGGTGGCCCACACCTGTCTTCCCTGCACTTTGGGAGACCAAGGCAGGATTGCTTGAGGCCAAAAGTTTGAGACCACCTTGGGCAACATAACAAGTCCCACTCTCTGTTTTAAACATTTTTTAAAAAAGAAGAAATAATGTAAAAGTTGGTAAATTATTTGACAAGCATAAAAACCTATTTAGCCCATACTGTGACTAAACTCTAATGATGCTCTCAATTCAGTCTCAATAGACACTTTTTAATGTCTGTGCTAAAGTATACACCTTTCTTTATGAGCACACCTCTATGGTAATGTGTGCATTTCTGTTCTTCATGAGCCTGGGAAGGATAAAAGCCAAAAGAATGCTAACTCCTGTGCTACACCTTGGAAACCGTAATTAGTGTCGTTTTTATTTTGGCAGACCCTAATAGAGACTCGACTGTTAATGTCAATGCATCAGAAGAATGAGGGAATGATAGAAATGGAGAATTCAAAGGGAAGGTTGCCCACTGTTTAAGAAAAAGCCAAGAGACTGCTTTTGAGTGACATGTATCCAGCAGTTAGTAACTTTTTTCAGTATCTCCCAGTGAGAAACATGGCTCAGTTTCACTTTCACTCTGCCCAGCTCTTATTGCCAGACGTCCTTTAGAACACTTTCACAAACACTCGCTGAACTGGGCTGGCATTCATAGCAAGCCAGTTATCAGTGCTGACAAAAGTCTAACAAGCGTCTCTCGAATGTCTCTTACTCTACTACTTACAAAGCAAGGACTGCCTACAGTTACCTTTTAACCATAATGCTTACTTACGCAGTGACCACCTTCTATGACTTTTCTTTTTTTTAAATTCTCATTACCTGGAAATAATGCCATTAGATAACATGCTTAAAATTATCATTAGGTACCTCACCTTCTTATTCAAATACGTTCTTGATCCATGATGGACTATAACATCAAAAGATACTTCTAAAGAAATATGACATTGCACTATGCACATAACACACTTTTTTTTTTTAGAGAGAGCTTCAGAGTTATTGAAGTAACTTAGCGGTGTGCCAGATCATTTACACTGTTGTAGTATTACTCTTGCTAGTAAATAATAATAATGATATCAGAATTTTCTGAAGTCAACCTGACCAACAAGGTAAAACCCTGTCTCTTCTAAAAGTATAAATATTAGCCAAGTATGGTAGCGTATGCCTGTAGTTCCAGCTGAGGCATGGGAATCACGTGAGCCTAGGAGCCAGAGGTTGCAGTGAGCGGAGATCACGCCACTGCCTGGGCAACAGAGTGAGACCCTGTCTCAAAAAAAAAAAAAAAAAAAAAAGGATTTTCTGAAAGTAGTAAAGAAAATGATTTTTATTTTTAAATTTCTCATACTTGCTGTCATCTTATGTTTATGTTTATTTGCCTAAGTGTGGGGCCCTAGATGAGGTAAAGGGTGGGATTAGGGAGAGATGAAGCTGGCAGTAGAGGAAGAAGGGCTCCAAAAAGAGAGACAATAATGTTTAGATCTTAAAGAGGAAGCAGTAATCTTTTAATTTTGAGAGATCTCTGTGATTAGCCTCAGTGTTAGAAATTATTTCAGAACTTAGCCAGGCGCAGTGGCTCACGCTTGTACTCCCAGCACTTTGGGAGACCAAAGTGGGCAGATGGCTTAAGCCCAGGAGTTCGAGACCAGCCTGGACAACATAGCAAAACCCTGTCTCTACTAAAAATACAAAAAATTAGCCAGGCACGTGACACGCCCTTGTACTCCCAGCTTACCTGGGGGACTGAAGTGGGATGATCACTGGAGCCTGGGAGGTCGAGGCTACAGTAAGCCAAGATCACGCCACTGCACCCCAGCCTAGGTAATACAGGGAGACCCCGTCTCAAAAAAAAAAAGGGGGGGCGGGGAACTTGCTAGGCCGGGTGCGGTGGCTCAAGCCTCTAATCCCAGCACTTTGGGAGGCCAAGACGGGCGGATCACGAGGTCAGGAGATCAAGACCATCCTGGCTAACACGGTGAAACCCCGTCTCTACTAAAAAATACAAAAAACTAGCCCAGCGAAGTGGCGGGCGCCTGTAGTCCCAGCTACTCGGGAGGCTGAGACAGGAGAATGGCGTAAACCCGGGAGGCGGCGCTTGCAGTGAGCTAAGATCCGGCCTCTGCACTCCAGCCTGGGCGACAGAGCGAGACTCCGTCTCAAAAAAAAAAAAAAAAAAAAAAAGTATCAGGCTAAACATTAGCATGTCATCACAGGGGAAAAAAATATTAAAACTGTAGTACCTCAAAACTAAGCCATATATTGTACTGTTTTTTAAATAACATTCAAAAATAAAATGAAAAATGAAATTCCACATTGAGACTCTGTTGTTCATCTTCAAAAAAATGTGTTTAAGTGATATAAGCCAGGTGCAGTGGTTCACACTTATTATCCCAGCACTTTGGAAGCCAAGTGAGACAGATTGCTTTTGAGCCCAGGTGCTTGAGACCAGCCTGGGCAACAGGGTGAAACCCTGCCTCTACAAAAAATAGATAAATAAAAATAAAAATAGTCAGGCATGGTGGCTTGTTCTTGTAGACCAGCCTGGCCAACATGGTGAAACCCCATTTCTATTAAAAATACAAAAAAATTGGCCAGCCACGATAGCTCATGCCTGTAATCCCTATACTTTGGGAGGCCGAGGTGGGTGGATCACCTGAGGTCAGGAATTCAAGACCAGCCTGGCCAACATAATGAAACCCTGTCTCTGCTAAAAATATAAAAAATTAGCTGGACTTGGTGGCACACGCCTGTAATCCCAGCTACTTGGGAGGCTGAGGCAGGAGAATCGCTTGAACCTGGGAAGTGGAGGTTGCAGTGAGCCAAGATCGCAACACTGCTCCCCAGCCTGGGCAACAAGAGCAAAACTCCGTCTCAAAAAAAAATACAAAAAATTAGCTAGGTGTAGTGGCGCACACCTGTAATCCCAGCTACTTGGGAGACTGAAACAGGAGAATCCATTGAACCCGGGAGGCGAAGGTTGCAGTGAGCCAAGATCATGCCATTGTTTTCCAGCCTGGGTGACAGATCAAGACTTGTCTCAAAAAGAAAAAAAAAAAACCTGTAATCCCAGCATTTTGGGAGGCCGAGGCGGGTAAATTACCTGAGGTCAGGAGTTCGACACCAACCTGGCCAACATAGTGAAACCCCGTCTCTTCTAAAAATACAAAAATTAGCTGGGCGTAGTGGCAGATGCCTGTAATCCCAGCTACTTGGGAGGCTGAGGCAGGAGAATCGCTTGAACCCAGGAGGTGGAGGTTGCAGTGAACTGAGATCGCACCATTGCACTCCAGCCTGGGTGACGAGCGAAATTCCGTTTCCAAAAAAAAAAAGAAAACGATGTTTTAGGTTTTTTTTGTTTTTTTTGTTTTTTTTTTTTGAGACGGAGTCTCGCTCTGAGGCCCAGGCTGGAGTGCAGTGGCCAGATCTCAGCTCACTGCAAGGTCCGCCAACCGGGTTCACGCCATTCTCCTGCCTCAGCCTCCCGAGTAGCTGGGACTACAGGCGCCCGCCACCTCGCCCGGCTAGTTTTTTGTATTTTTTAGTAGAGATGGGGTTTCACCATGTTAGCCAGGATGGTCTCGATCTCCTGACCTCGTGATCCACCCATCTCGGCCTCCCAAAGTGCTGGGATTACAGGCTTGAGCCACCGCGCCCGGCCGATGTTTTAGTTTTAACTTTTTATGTAACCATTTTCCTGAAACCTAATCTAAAATTAGGATGTTATTACCATGCATTCATTTAACAGAAAATTTATAGAACATTTTTACTAAGTGAACTGGCCATGTTTTTTATCTATCATTCCTTTATATATGGCTACAATGACTTCTAGTGGTAACTTCTATCCAAAGACCTATCTTAAATTAGCCAGGCGTGGTGGCACATGCCTGTAATGCCAGCTACTCGGGAGGCTGAGGCAGGAGAATAGCTTGATCTCGGGAGGCGGAGGTTGCAGTCAGCCGAGATCACACCACTGCAATCCAGCCTGGACAACAGAATGAGACTCCATCTCAAAAAAAAACAAAGATCTATCTTGAGCTTTCTGTGTAAGAAAAAGATGATACTGCTGGGCGAGGTGACTCACGTCTGTAATTTCAGCAATTTGGGAGGCTGTGGCGGCCGGATCACTTGAGCCCAGGAGTTTGAGACCAGTCTGGGCAACATGGGAAAACACTGTCTCTACAAAAACAAAACCGGACATGGTGGCTTGCACCTATAGTGCCAGCTACTCAGGATGCTGAGCTAGAAGGATCACTTGAGCCCAGGAGGTGGAGGCTGCAGTGAGCTGTGAACATACCACTGCACTCCAGCCTGGGTGACGGAGTGAGACCCTGTCTCAAAAAAAAAAAAAAAGGAAGAAAGAAAAAAAGAAGATGCTGAAAAATGAAGGCCCCTAGTCAAAATAATAAGGTTAGCTTTTGACTAAACTCAGGATTTTAAAAGGGAATACTTCAGTGCGTGATAATCTCATTTTTGAAAGGAAAGAAGCAGAGCTTCCACATCTCTAAAGCCTTAACTTAAAGGAGAAATAGATATTTCAAGAGGTAATTTTATGAAGTAATTAAATAGTAAAATATATTTTATTAACAATGCCTATAGTTATGTAAAATAGGCAGTGCCAATTAACTGACACTAAACTAGCTTTTTGGCCTGGTGCAGTGACTCACACCTGTAATCCAAACACTTTGAGAGGCGGAGGCGGGTGGATCGTTTGGGCTCAGGAGTTCAAGACTAGCCTGGGCAATGTATCAAAACCCCCTTTCTACAAAATACACAAAAATTAGCCAGGCATGGTGGTGTAGTCTGTAGTCCCAGACACTCAGGAGGCGGAGGCACGAGAATCATGTGAACCCAGGAGGTGGAGTTTGCAGTGAGCCATGATCGTGCCACTGCACTCCAGCCTGGGCAACAGAGCAAGACTGTGTCTCAAATAATTAATTAACAAGCTTCCTTTTCAAAAAAATAAATTAAGTCATAAGTCCTAAAAGCCCATCCTACTTTAAAATTGTTTATTCAAGTTCAGATGAAAAGAGTGGACTAGTAGGCCACTGAAGTACTTTAGAGTCTCCTGTGCCTGCCCTAATTTTAGAAGGTTGTGCATTTTATGATCCGGATTTCAGAGCGATTGAGAATGGGGTGTTGAACAGTACAAGGCAAGCTCTGCAGTAGGTAATGGATTGATGACGCTGGATTTAGCAAGTCTGAACAATTTAAAGGAAGTTTCTGAATGTGTTTTTTGTAGTTAAAATACTCAAAACGCTCATCTTATTGTCACATTTTATTTTTAAATTGCAGGTAAACAAGTGAGAACCAAACTTTCACAGGCATTTAATCATTGGCTGAAAGTTCCAGAGGACAAGCTACAGGTATTAGGCAACTCTAATCTTGTTAATCCCCAAGAAATTAATAGCTGTCACATAAAAATATTCCTAGTTCTTGATTGAATTTAGTCCTCATGCAAGATATTATTTTATATTGAGGTTGCTAAATATTTATTGTGAAAATTAACACCTGAGACTTTCATAATCTGTTAATTAAACTGAGTATATAAGTTTTGAATAGTTCAAATAAGTGAAATTTTTAATTCCTTTTTATTAGATCATTATTGAAGTGACAGAAATGTTGCATAATGCCAGTTTACTCATCGATGATATTGAAGACAACTCAAAACTCCGACGTGGCTTTCCAGTGGCCCACAGCATCTATGGAATCCCGTCTGTCATCAATTCTGCAAATTACGTATATTTCCTTGGCTTGGAGAAAGTCTTAACCCTTGATCACCCAGATGCAGTGAAGCTTTTTACCCGCCAGCTTTTGGAACTCCATCAGGGACAAGGCCTAGATATTTACTGGAGGGATAATTACACTTGTCCCACTGAAGAAGAATATAAAGCTATGGTGCTGCAGAAAACAGGTGGACTGTTTGGATTAGCAGTAGGTCTCATGCAGTTGTTCTCTGATTACAAGGAAGATTTAAAACCACTTCTTAATACACTTGGGCTCTTTTTCCAAATTAGGGATGATTATGCTAATCTGCACTCCAAAGAATATAGTGAAAACAAAAGTTTTTGTGAAGATCTAACAGAGGGAAAGTTCTCATTTCCTACTATTCATGCTATTTGGTCAAGGCCTGAAAGTACCCAGGTGCAGAATATCTTGCGCCAGAGAACAGAAAACATAGATATTAAAAAATACTGTGTACATTATCTTGAGGATGTAGGTTCTTTTGAATACACTCGTAATACTCTTAGAGAGCTTGAATCTAAAGCCTATAAACAGATTGATGCACGTGGTGGGAACCCTGAGCTAGTAGCCCTAATAAAGCACTTAAGTAAGATGTTCAAAGAAGAAAATGAATAATGTTAAGCCATTCTTGATTGGGCCTCATAGCTTATTTTAGTCAATTTTTTTGTCTTTTAGCCTTAACCACCTTCTAAAAAATTTGTTATTCTCCAGAAACATAATAAATAGGTGAATAGGGGTGATGCAAGTGAATTCGTTTTCATTTAGAAGCCCCTCTGTACAGATAATCAAAATTCAAAGTTGAAAGAATCAAAAGAAGCCACAGTTATGTAGGTCTGATTTGAATGTCATAATTGCAGTGACAGGACATTACCACCAGCTCTACCCTACTATCATCAATGTTGTGTTTATTCCGTCAATAAAAAAGACTCGCTTCCAGGAATTTTTATCCATACACTTTCTAACTGTACTATCTGGGCAGTTCCAAGCCAGTTTCTTTTAGCTAGCTGGCCCAAATCTCTTTTTTTCCTAAATGCTGCTGCAAAGAATATCTCACTGTCATCCCTGGAAACCCCCTCACTGAAGTCTTCTATGAAAAGGCTGATATGCTAAACAGTAAACACTCCGGTCCTTTTTCTTACGTTTTCCGTTTTTCCTTCCTCTCCACCCCACAAGTTTTGCTTTTTTTTTTTTTTTTTTTTTGAGACGGAGTCTCGCCCTATCGCCCAGGCTGGAGTGCAGTGGCCAGATCTCAGCTCACTGCAAGCTCCGCCTCCTGGGTTTACACCATTCTCCTGCCTCAGCCTCCCTAGTAACTGGGACTACAGGCGCCTGTCACCTTGCCCTGCTAGTTTTTTGTATTTTTTTTTTAGTAGAGATGGGGTTTCACCGTGTTAGCCAGGATGGTCTCGATCTCCTGACCTCGTGATCTGCCTGTCTCGGCCCCCCAAAGTGCTGGGATTACAGGCTTGAGCCACTGCACCTGGCCAAGTTTTGCTTTTTAACCAAGGTGTCTTTGCTTAATGAAATTAACACGCTAGTCTAAATTCTTTTTTTCTCCCTTGTAACATTTGTGTGCCCCAAACTGGTTAGTGTCTGGGTACAGCATTCCGTTTCCAGTTGGGAAGTGGAAAAAGTGTATGGGATATTTTAGAAGGGAGCTTTTGAACCTTATTATATTTCGTCATCATTGATAGTGACAATCTTAAAAGGGTTGTTTTCTTACCTCAAGTACAAAAGCATGGAAAAATGCCCTTTTACTTCCCGCCCACATCACCACCCCCCTTGAAGACAGTAGGTGCTTCAATGCAAAGTGAGTAGGCATCTTTAATCTCCCTGATTAAAGGAAAGAAAGTGTTAGCCTGAGAGGGCCTGACTGAAAAGTAACCAAAGGCTTAGTATCAAGCACTAATTAGCTTTTTAGTGCCTTAACCCTGACCTTGTTACCCGTTTCCTATAATTTCTAGACCCAAGCCACTGAAGTCATCTGTGGCCCAAGAGATAGGACCAAAAAAATGCTGATTTCAATATTTGATTTGTTGACATCCCAACATGAAGTTTATGTTTCCCTTAGAAACATGTTTTGCTTGATTGGTTCTATAGCATATTACTTAGGATCTATTTACCATATACTTGTATGAGAAATCCTCACCCAAGCATTCAACCTAAATCTTTGAAAAGTTGGGTGCTGTCTTTAGTAACTTTTAAAGTAGTTTAAATCTCCCATTTTAACAGTGATGAAGAAACCTGTTAAAATCATGACTGTTGATGTTATAGTATGGAAATTTGAACTTTATGAACCCATACTTTAAAAAACATTATTTTTTAAAATCTAACACTGACTATAGAAACAAATTAAAATATCTACCTTTAAGTATAAAAATTGCTTAAGTAGATTTGTTCCTTGCCTATCAAATTAATTTTGGCCTGGTGTTCTTCATCATTCGTTTGTCATTTTTATCTTGCCTTTGTCAATAACAGAAATGCTTGTCATTGAATTGAGAATTTTTTTTTTTTTTGAGATGGAGTTTCACTCTTGTTGCCCAGGCTGGAGTGCGATGGCACAATCTCGGCTCACTGCAACCTCCACCTCCCGGGTTCAAGCCATTCTCCTACCTCAGCCTCCTAAGTAGCTGGGATTACAGATGCCTGCCACGTTGCCTGGCTAATTTTTTTTTTTTTTAGAAGAGATGGGGTTTCACCATGTTGGCCAGGCTCGTGTCGAACTCCTGACCTCAGGTGATCCACCCGCCTCAGCCTCCCAAAGTGCTGGGATTACAGGCATGAGCCGCCGCCCCCAGCCAAATTGGGGACTTTTAGCAGTCATTTTACCTGTAGAATAATCAAAACTCTTCACTTAATCTGTAGTCATAGCTATTAACACAGAAAAATGAATGCCAGTTACGTTGCCATAAACCACCTTCTGAACTTGGCAAGATCTTAAAACCATCAACCATTCTCTGTTCACTCTGTGAACTTCTGTCTACTTCACTTCCTTCTCTACCTCACCTGTACTCTATAGTCACTCACTTCAATGACACTTAAAGAGCATTCACTCTCAGATCACTTTTCTCCTTTCCTTGCCCATTCGTATCTTGCCAACTCCCAGTCCTGGATAAATCCAAACATCCACCTTCTTTGCACATCCGTGTTGCTCAGTGCTGCTGGGGAACACTTTCAGAACTGCTGTTGAAGCCATTGTGAGTTTACATATTCCAACCTCTGCAACGCCTTTATTTTCCATCTAATCTTTCTTTCCTAGCGGAGATTTCTATTTTTTGTTTTGTTTTGAGACAGAATCTCGCTCTGTCTGGCAGGCTGGCGTGCAATGGCACAATCTCAGCTCACTGCAACCTCCGCCTCCCGGGCTCAGGCAATTCTCCTGCCTCAGCCTCCCAAGTAGCTCAGATTACAGGCATGTGCCACCACGCTCAGCTAATTTTTGTATTTTTAGTAGAGACAGGGTTTCACCATGTTGGCCAGGCTTGTCTCAAACTCCTGACCTCAGGTGATCCACCCGCCTTTGCCTTCCAAAGTGCTGGGATTACAGGTGTGAGCCACCGCGCCTGGCTGCAGAGATGTCTTATTAAAGATCCCCTACTTCTCTTCTTCCACTCTTCTCCCACTAAATATAAACTCTCCTAACCTTCCTTCCTTCTACTTTAGGTCTGTCTTTACATAGTCTGCTATTTTCAAGAAGAGTTTGACCTCCTACCTTAGGTTCTCATGTGCTTGAATTTCCCCTGATCTATTGAGGGCCTTGTCCTGTTCCATCTTCCCTTTTAAATATCTCCCATCTAGATAATCTCAAGTTCTATCCATTGACTCTTTTTTAATCCGTGTACTGAGAGGAAGGAAGTGGGCAAGGAAATAACATGAAGTATCTTACTGGCTACTAGATACTTTATATGTTTTCTTCAAGCATTTACTGAGGAATGCCAGGGCCTTGAATACAGATCAAAGTACCTGGCTCTGCTGGGCACGGTGGCTCATGCCTGTAATCCCAGCATTTTGGGAGGCCAAGGCAGGTAGACCACTTGAAGTCAGGAGTTCGAGACCGTCCTGACCAACATGGTGAAATCCCATCACTACTAAAAAAAATACAACATTAGCCAGGCGTGGTGGTACACACCTATAATCCCAGCTACTTAGAGGGCTGAGGCAGGAGATTTACTTGAACCCAGGAGGCATAGATTGCAATGATCTGAGATGGCACCATTGCACTCCAGCCTGGGCAACAAGAGCAAAACTCCGTCTCAAAAAAAAAAGAAAAAAAGTACCTGACTCTTCTGTACACGCTGCCTCTCGTTCTCTATGCACACTTAAATGCGTGTAAAGGTTTGAAAAGCACTGGTTAGGCCAAGCGTGGTGGCTCACACCTGTAATCCCAGCACTTTGGGAGGCCAAGGCGGGCAGATCATGAGGTCAGGAGATCGAGACCATCCTGGGTAACACAGTGAAACCCCGTCTCTACTAAAACTACAAAAAATTAGCCGGGCGTGGTGGCAGGGGCCTGTAGTCCCAGCCACTCGGGAGGCTGACACAGAAGAATGGCATGAGCCCAGGAGGCGGAGGTTGCAGTGAGCTGATATCTCGCCACTGCGCTCCAGCCTGGGCGACAGAGGGAGACTCCATCTCCAAAAAAAAAAAAAAAAAAGAAAAGCAGTGATTTATTCTAATAACAGTTTCTTTTCTATAATCTCTATTCCATCGATACCACAATTATGCAATAGTGGCTGATGTTCACTATTTGAAATACAGTCCCAGCACTTTGGGAGACCGAGGTCAGGGGTTCAAGGACCAGCCTGGCCAGCATGGTGAAACCACATCTCCACTAAAAATAGAAAAATTAGCCAGATGTGGTGGCACACACCTGTAATCCCACTTGAGAGGCTAAGGCAGGAGAATCACTTGAACCTGGGAGGTGGAGGTTGCAGTGAGCTGAGATCATGCCACTGCACTCCAGCCTGGCAATAGAGCAAGATTCGTCTCAAAGAAAAAACAACTACAGGAAAAGACTCATGATAATGGAACCTACAGTAATGTGAATTTAAATATAATGCAGTTGTCATTTGGCTCCCCAAACCCACATTTGGTTAACTGGAGACTCACTCTAGTCATTTCATTATTCTTATAATATTTATCTTACTGAATATTTGGACCTTACAGTGTTACTATACTTTGTACTGGTTGGTAAAGAATAAGTGTAATAATATAAATTTCAATGTATATAGTTCAAGTTAATCGTTAGAATGCTTCATGACCACTGATTAATGAGAGATATCTGGGTAACATCTGCCTTGTCATACATATTCTTTATAAAGTATGCTTTAGGAGAATGACCAGTTTATTATTGAATTATATTTATCACTGTACATAAAGAAAGAAATATATACTCAAAGATCTCAGAGTTGCTATAATAAGTAATGGAAGATATTTGGACCTCAGTGGGTGAGGTAGTATTAATGGTAAGCTGTAAAAGTAGTTTGTAAATCTCACCAAAACTTGTCACTTAAGAAAAACTAGGCCGGGCGCGGTGGCTCAAGCCTGTAATCCCAGCACTTTGGGAGGCCAAGACGGGCAGATCACAAGGTCAGGAGATCGAGACCAGCCTGGCTAACACAGTGTAACCCCGTCTCTACTAAAAAAAATACAAAAAACTAGCTGGGCGAGGTGGCGGGTGCCTGTAGTCCTAGCTACTCGGGAGGCTGAGGCAGGAGAATGGCGTAGACCCGGGAGGCGGAGCTTGCAGTGAGCTGAAATAGTGCCACTGCACTCCAGCCTAGGCGACAGAGCGAGACTCTTTCTCAAAAAAAAAAAAAAAAAGAAAAAAAGAAAAACTGAAATGAGGCCGGGCACGGTAGCTCTTGACTGTAATCCCAGCACTTTGGGAGGCTGAGGCGGGCAGATCACAAGGTCAGGAGATTGAGACCTTCTGTATTTT